CACTACATGTCACTGTGTGAGCATGCAAGGGATGGGGCCAATTCATGTCACGGCATGCGATGCTGAAGTGCTCGGCTGCAAATTCAGTGAGTACAATTGCAGTTGGCTCCCGTACAACCCTCTGATCTGAGTGCTCTCATGCTTGCTGGGGCTTCCTCGTCACTAGTTTAATACAGATGAATAAACAAACAAGTAGCAGCCATTGATAGCATCAGCATCTGTGTTTGCACTGATGGTGAGCGAAGCGATTCACCCAAGCTAACAGAATAAAACTGCGTCAGAGCTGGGGACAGGATGCCTCCCTCCCACCTGCCTTCCCTGGGCATCAGCTGCTTCCTGCATAGCTTGAGAGAGAAGAAAGTTCTGTTCAGCTGAGTAAATACACCATGGCTGTGCCTCTTCCATACTGTACACGCCTTGCAGCCAAAGGGTTAAAAAGAAATGAGTGCATTTGGCATGCTCTGTGGAGTTCCCAAAGTCTGAACATGAATGACCAAATTGCTTTTACTTTTTAAATTAAGCCCTCTGTCTGTATGCATGCAGCTAACACTGTTGTTCCATTAAATGAAAGAATTTGTTCCCCCTCGTATTCTTAATAGGGTAAGACCCTGCAGTTCCGTCTCACAACTTTACTAACACAAGATCTTATTAAAAGCAATCCTCCCCCTCTCCTCCTTGAAATCTGAGCTTCTGATAGCTTCATCCACACTGTGTTTATTTTATATACACAGCTCTGCAGCTGCTGCTTCCTTGTTCTCTAATAAATGACAGTGTAACTGTTGCATCCACTAAAAAAAAGTAAATAAAATTAAATGGGGAAGAACAATACATCTCTGGCAGAGAATAGGAAATCTTTTAAGGCATGTATCTAAATTGTACGGCCTGATCTTAATTGTGAGGATAATTCTTTCTTATTTCAAGCAACTTGGAACATGACAGAAAATGCACACTCTTGGCAGCACATCCAGAAAGATTTCTTTGGAAACAATGGGGAGAATTCTCCTGAACTGGAAAGAGATTGAAGCTTCCTTACTAGGTTAACAGTACTATACTCTGTGATGAAAGAATGGCAGAATGCGCTAGAATCTATTCGGTTGGCTTGGAAGACTTTCGCAGCACAGACAATACTGGACGAGTCCCAGCAGTGGGTGTTACATGGCAGGACAGCAGTATGAAGCGTCACCATTAGCAGTGAGGAGCCCATGAGCAGCACCCTCTGGACAGCTCTGTGTCTTGCTCTGCAGAAGGACTGAGAGCAGGAACTTTTCCCTCATCCTTCCAAGCAGGTGAGCCCAGCTGAGGCTACGCTGGGCTGCTGCCACCAATGTATGGCTCCTTCTGGGCTCCAGGCCACTGCCCTGCTGTTATCACTGCCCTCTGTTTGTGCCATCACTGATGAAGCCACCAAATGCAGTGAAGGCCAGCAGCAGCACCATGGCAGTTAGCCATGCTGTGGGACTGAGGTACAATTTCAAGGTCTCTATTCAGTACTGAGACAAAACTCTTGAATTTATCAGCAGTTTGTGTATAGAGCTGGGAAATAATATTAAGCAGAGGTGGAACAAAGCAAGGGAGAGTTATGTGAAACTAAGTTAGAACAGAACAGGACAATATTAGGGGTAACCTCCGAAACTGCAATTGTTTGGCTCTTCCTGGAACAAGGGGAAGCTGTGCAACAAGCAGTCGGCTTGTCAGTAGCCTGATCAGTTCACAAACTACAGAGCTGAACTGAGGGAAAACAAGTTGCTGGAGGGGAGTTAGGGACAGTCAGGTAGCTGAGGAAAAAAGAGGACCTTGTACAGTAATCTGTAAGAAGGGTGAAGAAGTACTTCCAAGCAATTGGAAACACTGACCTTGGTAAGGATGAGAGGATAAATAAATAATCCAGGTGATGACTTTAAAATGTAGAAATCTTTTATTTAAAAGAAAGAAAAGAGGGAAAAAAAGCTACAGAGGGTGGAATGTGTTAAGAAAGACCCTGGGAAAGATCAAACAGGGCCAAGCACTGCAGCTCTGTGTGAAGAGCAGCAGTTGACATTCAGTCGAGGTGTAAGCATTATCAAAAGGACGATGGAATAATGGCTACACGAGGAAAGAAAAAGGTTTCCAAAACAAGTGAAGCAGCACTAGTGGGAGATTTCCCCTGGATGCTCTCTGGGAAATGTTTGGAGGAAGGGCTGAAGGGCACTGGCTCAGGAAAACACCTGGTATGGCTGTTCTCAAGCTGCTCAGCAGGACTCAGCTTTCCTGCCTTTGCAGATGTAGGCGCTCACCAGCTCTGCTTCAGCTTCCCTGTAAGCGATGCCCTACTACAAGTGTGGCACTGCAGCCCAAGCAGGTCCCCAGGAAGGTGCCATGGGGACACAGCTCTCTGCAGAGGATGGGCTCCAGCTGTGCCTGCTGCTGCACATGGCAGCTCCTTGTGTATAACCTGAGCCTTATAGAACCTAAGCCTTCTACATGTCGTGTTTAACGTATAATCTGTGGCAGTTCACCCTTACACCTAAATAGATACTGGCAAGTTGTTTACTGTGGCCTCAGCCTGTTTTTGTGCCACACTTGTAGGGCACCTGCTGAGCGCAGCGCTGCCTGGAGGCCCGACCTGGGAGAGGGTGGGGTAAACCTCAGCTCCCCAGAAAGGAGGAGGATGCTCCAGACCGTGCTCACATACCTGCTCTGCAAGGCAGGCTGAGGCTGGCTGTGGGTTACTATTCTAGTGTAGCCTCGGGGGTAAATAAAAGAGGCCAAGTACCCGTGAAAACTGGCCTTGTACCACTACAGGTGTTAACAGGAAAAAAGGGCAGCTCCCTGACCGGAGCCAACCGAGAAGAAAGCATCTTAGATACCTGCAGGTCTCCCTGTTTCAATACAGCTTCTTGTGTATGCAGCAGCTTTAGGCAAAATATGAAGCAGTTTGACTGATATTAATATAAGTTAGAGCTCATCATGAAATAATCATGCCATCTTTGGTGAAAGTGGGAATTTATCTGGGAACTGATCAGGTATTTCTCCGTGGACTAAATGCTGAATTAGGACCAGTGATGTGATGAGGGCACAGTAAGAAAAAAAGTCCTGCTCGTGAAGGAGGGCAGTAAGGGAGCTCTTCATTGAGCTGCATAAACTATTAACCTTTCTTGCTGCGAAGCGCCATCTAGTGTTCACAGCCAGTCCGGCTGGATGCGGAATTGCAGGTTCAGGCAAACAGTTTAAAAGGCTGTAAGGGAGGCAGACAAACTTTGATAACTAGATATTACTGGCTGTTAATACAATCGTCCTCAGCTTCTTCATTACATGATGGAATGGGAAATGTTTCAACTGGGTTAAGAATGTGATCTAGCTCTCAGAAAGCAAAACAGAGACCATGTTGAAGGAGCATGCTGTCTTGAAACCAACCGCGCCATTTCATTCACAAAATATGTGCCCAATGATGTATCAAATCTGCACATGCAGCGAGCATTATGGTATTATGAATGTTGTTTGTATTGCAGTGGAGCTTCTGTGTGCATTAGTACCCGCACACATGGAGTGGTGTAAGAATCTCTCTTTCCTGCAAGTTTGCAAATCAGCTGCAATGAGTAAGTGAATCCAGGAATAGGAGAGTAGGTTAATGATCATCGTACACTGTGAGTAGGTGCATGCAAGCTATTTCTATATGCAGATTATAAAACATACTTTATAGTCTTAAACCAGACCCAGCAAAGACACAGTTTATCATCTAAAGTCTAAGAATCGGGAATCTAGGATCCACACGAATGGTTAGAAATTGGAGGTGGAGGAGAGGTAAAAAAGGGCACAAAAATAATCCCACCTTCAGGACTGTATCTGGGGCATCTTTCACACAGGGCTGGGGCAGTCCTCATTGGCTTGGCAATTCTCCTGCCAGATCTGATCACCCTGAAACCACCTCGAACACAGACCTCAAACAGAAGGGTTGTTATTATTTGTTGTTATCTGCAGAATGCTGACAGCACTTAGAAGTGCCAGAGGATTCATGCCTTGGGTTTTGCTCTTGCAATAGCCAGGAGCACAGTCTAATTAGCCCTAAAAATGTCCATGATAGAGAACAGCCCTACTGACAGGGAGCAAATTAGGTCTCTGACCTAGCAAAGCATTTAACCATGTGCCACATATTTTAGTACATGTATCTTTAGATTAAGAGCTGGATGATGTAACCTTTTCTGCCTCTAATTTCTTTGACTGCAGTATGAAGTACAGCCCAACTTGCTTGCTGGGGAAGCCTTGCATACAGTATTAATCTGCTTTCTAAACTGACTCCTTTTGTCTGGAAAAAAGATGAGGGCTTGCACCCAAACCAGAGGATCTTTGCCATTTACTCTCCTAGAATTTCCATAGGAAAACTCACCCCCGTGTCCAGCTGTCCACAGCAGCTGACTTCAACGGTGCTGCCTAGAAACATCTGTGGAGAAGCTTTAGCTTCTTAGTACCTTTAGCACTTCTGTGGCACAACTACTGCCCTGTCTTCTCAACAGTAATGCAGACCTTTCCATGACTACTGGTCATTTAAGAGACTCCTACTTCCTACATCACAGTCCTGTCCTTACACACAGGCAATACACAATCAGAGTCTTACAGCTATCTCAGCAAGAATGATAACAGGTCCTCCTTTCGTTTTGCTCCTTTGTGATCTGCTGAATCACTCTAGAATTCCTCGTTTTATTTCAGTAATAAACAACAAAACAAATACAACAGCAATGAAGAGCCTGGAGGGTGGCACCAACTATAGAGGATAGTGAGAACTACGCAGATTTATCTTTTTGGAGTTTGAAAAGCAGCAGTTGACTCAGAGCATGATGGAGTCACCTTGCTGTCTGAGTTAACATTAACTTTATGATGTTCTGAGATGACTGTGGTAATGAGGACTTCATGAGGAGCTACATGACCCTCAAGGGAATTTTGAGTTTAAAGTTTAACCCTGTATCTTCTCATGTGATGTTAGAGGTATAAACCCTGCAGGACAGACTGGAAGCACGTCTGCTTTCCTTTCCAAGCCACATGATGACTTTGGTGGGTTGCTTCAAGATGGGTAGAACAGGAGGCTTGAGAAAGAAGCTCCAGCTGGAAGCTGGTGGGTGTTACATTTAATCTATTTGCATTCTTTGGTTCAGCAAGCCTCTGGGGTAGTGTGCCAGAAGATACCTGCTCTTTCCCCATACTCATCACTGGACATCTCTGTGCTAGTTGGTCTGACTGCACCTCTCTGCTCTTATCTCCTACATTTTATATTAATTCCAGCATCTGCTGTGTGGTTTTCACTGCTTTGACAGGGCATGGTACCATGGCGCAAAACCCTCTTTCTGTGTCCTTGTCTCGTTGTGATCTCAAAGGCCCTGAAGCTGTACCTGCAGAGAGCACTGCATGAAGCTTGCAGGTGAGATATCTGCCTGTGGAGCCTGTGTGCCTTCCTTCATGTACATCCATTTTGCCTCTCTTGTACTGAGCTGGGAGGGATATGATTATGAGACGAGCCACAAACTAATCAGAGCAGGTTAGGGTCACTTTACATTCTGATGCAGAATTAAACCAATGAGGAACTTGATTGGCTCAAGCTAAAATGATCATCATGACTGTTTCTCCTTTATTAGGCCTGAAGAGCCTAGTGATCCCATTTCTGAGTCAGAGCCTCAACACAGTTTTTCACACAATTCCCAATTAGCAGCAAAGAAAAAGAAAAGGCAGATAAGACTTCTGAATTACTGAGAGGGAACCTCAGTGGTTTGCACACCAGGGTAACAGCTCCTCCTGCAAGTAGAACCCTCAGTGGCATGCTCTTCTAACTGGAAATACCTGATATTTTCTTTTTTGAAAGTATGGATGCTATTTTAATTGCCAATTACTGATTAATAAAAGGAATTCAATAATACATAATAAAAATACCTTATAATATGAATTACATGTGGCCCAGCTTTACTGCTGAAGTCATGCCTCAGTCACTGATTGGAATGGTTTATCCAAGTGCTTATCTTTAAGCCCCCAAATAATCCCACTGAACTCAGCAGTGGAAGGCACCCTTCAGTATTAAAAACCAAATCTCCAGCCGTAGTATTTTACAATTTCAGTACCTGAAAGCCTAAGCGTTTGCCAACTGCAATCTTTCTTTTCATTTTGGCTGCTCTTGAGTGTATTATGTGACTCTAGTTTTACTCATTAAAGACTCAGATTGTGCTTGTTTTGTTAACAACCGTTAGGGCAGGGGTTCTGACTCTTAATTGGTACCATCTGGAAATGAGAAGGAAATTCCTTAGGATGAACGCGAAGACGAGGAAAGTCCTTACAGTTTCTCATGTCTGCAAAACTTGTCCCATTTGCAATAGCCAGATCTGACCTAGGAGCCTGCCTGCCCTTCCATTTCTGCTGGGAGCTGGTGGGAGTGTTTTCTTTCAAGAAAAAGATAATCGCCGTGTTGCCAGCAGAACTAGAAAATAATCATTTTGAAGTGGAAAGTCGCACAATTCCGGCTGCTAGCAAACCAGGCCTTTTTATGCAAATTGAATATCTTTGTTCCCAGTTTTTTCCAATCCTGCACCACTTGTTCAGCATTTCCTCATTTTCTGGCACTGGTTTCCATAGCTGCGTGCAATCACACTCTCACACAGATGCCATTCTGTGTTCAAAGCACTGAATGCTACAGGGCATATTAGTGTTTTTATGCTTTAGATCTATCTTTATGTAACTTCAGAGCTCATTAATATATACCATTTTGTGTGATTAAAAAACAACAACCTGGCACATGAAAAGCTTTGAACAGGAGAATGGATTGTAAGGAAAATGGCTTTCTTTTCATTATGCAGATTTTAAGCTAGACAGGAGATGTGCCCAGAAAGTTAGTGGAGTAGGTACTGGCTACTGCAAGGGAGTGATTCCCTGACTGCAGCCCTGCAGACTGCACGTCAGAAGAAAGAAACAGGAAAAATCAAATGCTATTTAACTGCGAAGATTTTCACATTATGATTTCAAAGCAATGGATACAAATGAATGGAAAATGTCCATGGCATCTTAAGGCTTTTTTCATCTTAAGGTGTACTCTTTTGCAGTGTAGAAAGACAGAGACTGGACTGAGATGTGCAGGTATGGGAATGATGGCCTCACTTTGAATATCGAATGGGCACAGAAAGGTGTAGAAGCTCTGGCTGTTGGTGAAGCACAGTTCTTCTACTTAGGTTACAGCCTGAAATGCTGACTCTAAAACTGTTGTGCCAGGAAGTATGCAGATGATGTGTGCCAGCACACAGCGCTCTAGCTGTGGATGTGGGTTGTGAAGCAGAGTGACGTGGGTGTTTTTCTGACCATCAGTTCTGACTTACAACTGCTTTCAGTCTAACGACACCAGCGTGTCACCTGCTAGCCAAACCACAGGCTGTTATAGCACTAAAAGCCGTAAGTGAGTGTCTCTTTCAGGTCCCTCTCCTTGACAATACTTACTGTCCTTCCAAGGCATCCTGATTACCTCCAAAAACACCTAATACTGACCTAATACTGTAGGTACATGTGGTTTAAATGGCATCACTCAGCAAAGCAGCAGGACAATCTCCCTATCCAGTTTGAGAGTCTATATTCATAAGGAGCAGCTTTCCAGAAAAAAAAAAAAAAAAAGATATATTGGAGGTGGTTGGAATGTATTGATGCAGCATGGGCAGTGGGAATAATGTAAAATCTGGTGTATAACCCACTCAACGCTCACAAAACCCTTCTAGGAATGGTCAACCAAATCCATTTTTCCTGTCATATCTCTGACTTTGTGTTAAGGGATACATGACTTGAGCAGCAATGCAGCCCTTGGGCAGCTGGAGAGGTAAGGGAGAGAGCCACACAATCCACACAATTCTGCTTCCAAACAGCAGCTCCAAGCATTTTCCCAGTGCTGGGAAGTTTTGTCCTTCTCCTTTTCCTCCTGTGCGTTAAAAGGAAAGTACTGATTATACGGAACTAAGGCAGCAAATTGCTACTAATGTATGAAATGAAAATCCACGCCTCACGGCACAGAGATCTTACACAGATACTCTGCAATTACTGCCTTGCTACAATTTCTGCTGGGTGTAACTCAAACACAATACTGAGCACAGGTAATTTACTGCAGAGGTCATAAAAAATCTCATTAAACCCACATAATTTAAGACCAGGTAGTTTCCCAGCTCACGTTTTGGCTTGGCACCAAGCTGTGGGACCTGGCTGGGTGGCTGCCCACAGGAAAATTCTCTCTAGTGAGAGAAAAAGCAGTGGCAGTGAGAAGGGTGAGCTATGTGCTATATACCAGGACATGGAGGCTGACTAGCTGCACGTTTCTCTCACTGTCTTGCAGAAGCATGGGGATGTAACCAGCTGCTGAGAGTGCAGATTTGATGTGGAGAGGCTTAAGAACTGAGCTAGTCTTTCAAGTAGCCAACAGCCTGAACCTGATAGCCATTTATTTCCTGGGAATAGCAACCCCCCTCCCCCCCCCCCAAGGATTTGGCATTCTCTCCCATGTGATAATCTGTTGAATACTCTACAAGATACTGGACCAGATTTCCTCCGCAGCGGCATCAGGTACTGCTGCTTGGAGCAGGCAGGGCCAGTTGGCAGCAGTGCAGGCGTCTCACAAATGTGCTGATGTAGCACTGACACGGGAGCTGCTGCCAGGGCCCTGCCTGCACAAGGGTAGGCAGGAATCAGAACTATCTTTGTGCAGTGTAATTTAGTGACAGGCCCAGCTGTCCTGACTCCTGTTTTTAGGTGGTAAATACCCCACACAGAGGTGCCACAACTGTGCCAGTCAGGGTGAATCAAACTCTCCAAGCAGCCACCACTGAGGCATTTTGCCTTCTCCAGCTAATGACCCGAGATGTCAGCTGGTTGATGTAATAGGAGTAAACACATTTCCTATCATCCAGGTCTTTCACAGCCAGATGACACTCGGCATCTGAGTGAGGTGTCAGTCCAAGAAGAAATGCAGGCTCTCAGATCTGCCTCCTTGATGTTGGCCATGGCTGGCTGGAGCCTCTGCAGGGGATGGCATCTGTGTTCATCAACTCTGCTTCTTGCTGCCCAGCTCTGGGGCTGGGCCATGCTGCCTGACTGTAGCGGGAGCTGTGGTGGAAGCAGAAGCTCTGTGGGTGAGCCAGGAGCCTGGCAGGGGTTCCTGCATGTCTGGGAATAAACACACCTGAGTGACTCTAGGAAAGATGGTTCAGCCCAAGAGAGTGTAGCTACAGACACTAAAGAAGCCCAACAAAAAAAGCCCAGTATCGGCTTACTAACTTTTCTTCCAAGACAATGACAACACATTTTTAAAATGAGTTAATTCTCTTCCTGCAGCACCCTAGCGCATCCTTTTTATTTTTCTCTGTAAAGCCTAGCTTGCCAATGGAATATTACAACTGAAAGAAAATACTTGATATTGATGGGGAAACAACACAATGACTTCAGATACCCAAGGAGAGATATTTGTATATACAGAGAGAATTTAACCTCAAAGACTCAGTTCACCTATTCATGTGTGATTTATATTGCCCCAGGCTCCTAGGCAGAGTGAACACTGACACCCTTTGATGTTGAAAGAAGCCTAGTGACTGGCCTTTGGAGAGATTTGTGATGTCTCTATCAGCCTGTCAGTGGAAAACCAGGCAGCAAAGCCAGGCCCCCTGAAGATTTCAAGGCCTTGTAGGCAGAGGAATTGTGTAAGCATTTTACTTTCACCAAGTGCTTGAGAGGCTGAGCAAAAACAGGCAGTCTAATTGAGTGGCTACAGAACACTGTGCTGCAGTTCTGCATCTGCGTGGCTCTCCATGACTGATGCCCTTTTGGCCAGGGAAAGGGGCCAGCAATGGGTGCATTTAGCAATTGCATGTCCCTGGGTGATGGAGTGCTTTTGCAGCATGGTGGAGACACGAGAACCCAGGGACAAGGCTTTAAAGTGAGGAATAAACCTTGCTTATTTGAAATGCAAAGCATTTTCTTGTAGTTGCAGATGGGCAGATAGGCCCTGCCCCTAATTACTGCTCATCTCTGTGGTATCAGATGTCAAGGGTTTTCAGTGGGATGAAATAGTCCTGAATAGGTTTGACATCCTACAAAGAAAAGGACGATACCAGAAGAAAAAAGAAGTGCCAGCAGTGCAATATGTGCTGTACAGCTCTGGCACAGGACCAGATCATGCACCAAGGTTAGCGATGGGAAGCAGGTGGCAGGAGGGACCACGGGCTGATGCTCCTTGTGAGGTGAATTCTCAGACAATGTGTTGAGCAACACTTTGGAAGATAGGATTAAAATTCAATATAATGCTGATAGATTGGGGTAATGACTTGAAAACAGTAACACATGATATAATAAAGACAGCTGTAGAATGGTTTACACGGAATTAAGGACTGCTGGCTAGGCACAGCAGGATCTGAG